CGTGCCAACATGTTGCACCGACACCGGGTGCTTTATCGAAGAAACCCAGTGCTGTGCATACATGAGTAGGTTGCCACCGAGCCGCACCGAGCGGTGTTTTTACCAAGTCTGCTTCTAACTCCCAGACTAAAGCTGTCTACAATGACCATAAATGCGACATTGTAGAGAGGGTTCTTGCATGATAACACCGCCGGCCAGTGGGGGTAAGAGGGACTACACACACACACACACACACACACACACACACACACACACACACACACACACACACACACACACACACACACACACACACACACACACACACACACACACACACACACACACACACACACACACACACACACACACACACACACACACACACACACACACACACACACACACACACACACACACACACACACACACACACACACACACACGCACACACACGTACACACACACACATACACACACACACACACACGCACACACACACACACATACACACACACATACACACACACGCACACACACACACACACACACACACACACACACACACACACACACACACACGCGCGCGCACGCACGCACACACACACACACACACACACACAAAACAAAAAAGCTTACGAGTGGATTTGGACATACACTGGAGTCACTTTTTACGCGGTTTTTTTTTACACGGTTTTTTTTTACGCGGTTTTTTTTTACGCGGTTTTTTTTACGCGGTTTTTTTTACGCGGATATCGGAATTTACACGGTTTTTTTTACGCGGATTTTGGAAATTACGCGGATTTTGGTTTTTTTTACGCGGATTTCAGAATTTACGCGGTTTATCGTTATACACTAGAGTCGCTTTTTACGCGGTTTTTTTTTACACGGTCTTTTTTTACGCGGATTTCGGAATTTACGCGGTTTTTTCTACGTGGATTTCGGAATTTACGCGGTTTTTTTTACGCGGTTTTTTTTTTACGCGGGACGTATCACCCGCGTAAAAAGCGATTCCAGTGTATTTGAACCTTTTTCATACGATCAGAAGGAGATTCGCTGCCAGACTGTAGAGCAGTACAGGCGACGTCTTTATTCTCGCTCTCTTCGGTCGCTCGATTGCGTTGTTCCGTTTTTTCTCGCGTTGAATAGTGACGCTCTCGCTAACCCAGCCATGGGTAAAAATTGCGCGGTGGCGCGAGTGCCGACAATCCCGGGAAAAGGTCTAGGCCTGAAGACAACAGTGACAGTGTGACAGCCACGAAGAAGCTGATCGACAAAAATCGATTCTTCGTTCTGAAGGACGGTGCAGAACCGGTAACGGAAACAACAGGACCGCCGAAGAAGTACAGAATGCCGCCCTTCTACGTGAAGGGCTTCCCTCCCGGATTGCGGGAAACAATAAACTTCTTCATCACGCAGGGCGTCCGGTGCACCATCCATCTGTGCACGGAAGGATACAAACTGATGGTTCCGGCATTGAAATATTACAAGGCGGTAAAGACCATACTGGACCAATCACAGGTGGAGTACTTCTTCCACGACATCGAGGCTGTTAAGCCGTTCAAGGTGGTCCTGCGCGGACTATACGACATAGACACAGGCGTCCTCTTGGAAGAGCTGGTGGCTAATGGACTGAAGCCGGTCCAAATTCACAAGATGGCCCGCCACAACAAGGCCGTCAAGTACCGCGAGCAGCTATACCTGGTCCACCTTGAGAAGAACTCAACAACTTTGATGGACCTCCAGGGCATCCGCGTCCTGTTCAACATAGTGGTGAAGTGGGAGCGGTACAAGCCGATCAGCCGTGGAGTCACCCAATGCTCGAACTGGCTGCTGTTCGGGCATGGAACAAAGAATTGCCATATGGTCAGCCGTTGCATCGAGTGTGGCAAACAACACAAAACCGACGCCTGCGACAGACTCGATGAAGCCGATCCAATTTGCGCCAACTGCGGTGCTGATCACAAAGCTACAAGCAAGGCCTGCCCGAGTACATCGAGATCCGGAAGAAAGCATCGATGAGAAACCAACCTGGCCGCAAGAAGGTCTTCTTCTTTTCGTTTATTTAACGTCGGTCTCTGTTCCGCAATCTAGTTCCAATCACCGACGGACATCGATTGCCATCCATTGACGGCAACCGAATGTGCAGGAAGGCAGCTTCCACACCTGCGTAGGATATCGCACCCATTCACAACAACACACCTGGGCCGGGACCAACGGTTTTACTTCCCTTCCGAAGGAAGACGTGACCAGAGATTTTTATGCCACCGACCTTGGCTGGGATTGAACCCAGACCCATTGGGGTGTAAGAAAGCAGTCACGCTTACCACTACACCACCGGCGCCGGCGGCCGCAAGAAGGTGCCGGAAATTAATGACCAGAACTTCCCACCGATACCTCAACGACCGTTTACAGTGCTGCCACCGCTGCCACTCAATCAATGATTGGCTGCTGCGGTGGCCTCCACCGCTCAAGTTCAAACTGCCAGAGTCCCTGCAAGCTCAAGCCAAGAGACGACCGCTGCTCCAAAGCCGCAGGATCTCCCCACAGCCCCTGGGCTAAACTGGCGTCAGGATGGACCGTCCCTACCGCTGCCAGAAATCAACGATGGTTCGTGGTTCACCGCAGCGGAACTAATGATCATCTTCCTCAAGATGCACGACATTGCCAACACCATCAAGAACAAATCCGACCAACTCCAAGCTGTGGCTACCTTCATGCTATGTTATGGACCGTGAAACCATCATGATCGCCAACTGGAACGCTTGCTCGCTCAAAAGCAAGATCATCGAGCTCGTTGACTTCCTCAACAAACAAAACATCCACATTGCCGTTATCACCGAAACCCACCTGAAACCGGAGGTAAACATCTACCTTCCTAACTTTCGGCTTCTAAGATATGATCGAACCAGCTCCGGGGGAGGAGGAGTGGCCATTACTGTAAGGAGAAACATCTGCTGTCAGCTTCTGCCGAGCTTCCAGCTAAAAACCATCGAAGCTTTAGGGGTAGAAGTCTCCACTCCTGTCGGCCCTATCACCATCATTGCGACCTACTGCCCCAAGCAAGTCACCATCAGGGACGGGTCGGCAGCAGACCTGCGGAGGGACATCATCAAACTAACTCGACGGCGATCCGATCAGCTGATCGTCAGGGATCTGGCACGTTAGGTTAAGTGGGTAGAATAACAAATTAATACATTCAAACAACATACTTTACAAGAAGAAAATTGAAAAACATTACACAGTAAAAAACAACATGTACAACACAATATCAAAAAGTTCGCCATAGATGAAGAGCCATTCTGGCTAACCTCTTGCCCTGTGTTAGCAATTGTAAACCACATAACAAATCAAAATAAAGAAGAATTTTACTACTTTACTACGATCAGAAGGTGTATACCGGTCACAAATGCGTTGCCAAATTGATTTCCTATGCAAGTGATGTGAGTTTCGAGAATAAATACAAAGAGGAATGATTATAGCCAAACTTGCCATATAAAATCTGCTTAATTGATTTTAGTAAACAAACTTACACTTCTTCCTTCTGTAGCACCTTTGATTATCCACCTTGGATGAGGATGGCTATTTTGTTTCTGTGCTGCTCGCGCGAGTGATGGAACTTTCCCATGCTTGCATATAATAATGAACCTGATGTTCCACTTTTGCAGCATACATGTTGTAACAATTCCATATATGGTGTTGCAATACTTGTTGTCCACTGGACGTTGAAAGCTTTTAATAATTTAAATAGCAGCGTTGGTGTTTTATTTTCTGATGAGAGCTGAAGCGATTTGACTGTCGCATTAATGGCCCTTCACTCATTTTTAACTTCTATTCAATTTTCATACTGCCGTACTCTAGAGAAACTATCTACCTACCCTCTTCTAAGACCATTATCTAGCTAATAAATTATCAAACTAAAGCTTCATGTTAGATATCATTTCCAACCAGCTCTGAAAATCGCAAACTTCGCTTATTTTTTTCCATGATTTGTTTTCCGTCGATCTTTACCGGTCGATCAATGGCTTTACTTCCCTTCCGAAGGAAGGCGTGATCATAGATGTTATGCCTCAGAACATCCTGACGGCGCCAGCGGTGACGGTGGTGTAGTGGTAAGCGTGATTGCCTCTCACCCCAGCAGGCCTGGGTTCAATCCCAGTCGGCGCCGCCGGGATGTTCTGAGGCATAAAATCTCTGATCACTCCTGATGAATGTGGGCGTCTTAGTAGAACACCTGTGTAATGAGAGAAAGAAGGATTGGTATTTTCCATTTAATTCCACTACTTTACTACTACTTTACTACTTTACTAGAGTAGTGGAATTAAATGGAAAATACTAATCCTTCTCTCTTTCATTATATTATCTCTGATCACGCCTTACTTCGGAAGGGAAGTAAAGCCGTTGGTCCCCGGTTCATGAGTTGATGGGTCGATAGGTAGGGTCCAGGTGTGGGAGCTGCCTTCCTGGCGTCGGTAGCATTGGTGCTCAGCACGCAAAACAAGTTCGACGGAAAACAAATCAAGGAAAAAACTGGTATTGAACTCAGGCCTGTTGGGGTGATAGGTAATCACGCCTACCACTACACCACCGGCGCCGCTGAAAACATCGCGTATGAAGTAACATAAAAACACTTTGAATGAAGGCAAACATGTTTAAAAATCTGGAATGTATTGAACAAATCTGAAAAAATACGTAATCTGTCTTCGTATTTGGCAATACGGCTGAAAATCTAGGAAATCCAGATAAATCCGGCAACACTGCTGGCAAAAATAGTTCGTCAAATAAACAACTAATCGGGGTTTACCCAACCTTATGATTCAGAAAACCCGGTCATAACACATCACCTATCTATCAAACTGACCACTGCTTGAACGGCACAAGCCACTCTCCAGTCCACTCGCACTGTATTCCGATGTTGCACAACACACATGAACCCGTTGGGCAAGAACTGGGAAAATAAATTAACATACAAAGCAAAGACGAATATAAAACAAACCGGTCAGTGAGACACAGCTCGTACAGCGGAGTGGTTCTTACAAGCGAATACGTCATGATCACTTGTTATCGTGTTGCTTTATTCCTCTTGTCGTGCCTAGCGATCGCTCAAGGTAATCGAAATTTCATTCTACTATCTGTTGTTGGTGAACACGCATTTATTATTTATTTCTTTTTAGGTCAACGCATATCGAAAAGAAGTAAGCATTGATCCGTATTCGATTATTTTTGTACCTAAATTAATCAATCTTCTTGCAGAATGTTCGGAATATCGCGAGCAAACGATTTTGCGGGCGCAATTCATCTACCTGCAGCCCAACCCTGAACCAATTGTTTTGGAACTATTCAACTGCTCCAAAACGGTGAAACTTATCGTTGGTGGCGAGGAGGCTAAGCCGGGGGAGTTTCCCCACCAGGCCGTGCTCGGTTGGAAGTCCAAAACCGATCCTAGCAAGTTCGACTTTCGCTGCGGTGGCTCGCTGATCAGTGAGCGGTACGTCCTGACGGCAGCTCATTGTTTCGAACCTGGGCCTCCCGATGTTGTACGATTGGGAGAGCTCAATCTGAAGAACGACAATGACAACCAGGAAGACTACGAAGTTGAAGAGTACATCCGACACCCTCAGCATCGGTTCTTCCAATCGTACAATGACATTGCCTTGATCAAGCTGGCGGAAGATGTCCCATTTCATTTGTTCGTTCGACCGGCTTGCCTGTGGGACTCGTATGACATGAACGTAACGGAGGTGATCGCCACAGGATATGGTTTAACCGAAGACTTTGAACAGTCGGACAAACTGCTGAAAGTTCAACTGGATTTTCTTCCGAGAAAGGAATGCGTCGCTCAGTACGCCAAACAGCGTAAGTTCAAGCAAGGAATCATCGAGGAACAGCTTTGCATCGGTAGTGTTCGTGAAGGTCGTGACACTTGTCAGGGTGATTCGGGCGGTCCCATTCAGGTGATTACGGAACCGGAGGGATGCATGTTCCACGTGCTTGGACTTACCTCGGCTGGATCTGCGTGCGGAATTGGACGATCACCATCCATCTACACCCGGGTGGCGGGCTACATCGATTGGATTGAGAGCATTGTGTGGAAATAGGATTTTGCTGTCAAAATATAAAGATCTACCTGCATCTGAAATTGATTTATCCGTTGCTGGTTTGTTTTCATTCACGATTACTGAAGTGCCGGTAAATTCATACACGAAAATCCAGATTGAAAACAATCTGTAAAATCGATATTTATTTAAATTCTGGAAGCGTTTTTTTTTTCAACTCGATGCACTGGTCAGAAGCGGTGTGCAATCGACCGCCAGATCCACTTCTGCTCCATATTTCAATTGCGATCCCAACCATCCCGGCAGCGCATCCAGTGTTGAAGCCCCATTTGAAAACGCAGGGAGATGGGGGTATCAAATGAAAATTGGATCAACCGCATCCCCCGGACCGTCCACGGCGTGTTGATACTGCATTCGAGAGCCATAAATCTTGGCCGCACAAGTCGCTCTATACGCTGGTTTGTGTTTGCAAAAGGGATATTCGATGGAATGCAAATGATTTGCGATGATTGCAGAATTATATTTCATTAGGCAAATAGAGCGCATCCCTTGTGGAATCGAATTTTTCGCTACGACGATGGCTATTCGATGTGATTGGATAAATCGACGTGGGATGGGATGTGTTTGTTTCCCAAATTATCAGTTTCAAAATTGTTCCAGTGATGAATATTTGATGAATTTCCAATTTTGAATATGTGTTTTTCTGGACCTAATGAAACTTACTGTGATTTTTTTTTTTTTCGAATGCTTGCTAGTAAATATTAAAAGGCAAGAGATAAATGTAGCTTGGAAACAATTGATTGGCAAAAATCTTCATTCTCCAACAAGAAAATAAAGGAAGTCGACAGTAATCTGACAGGTCGAGGCAAAAGCGAGCAGCCACCCAGGATGGAAATGTTGCACGTTGGCCCTATGCACCACAAGAAGTGTGCGGGATACATGAGTGAGTGGGTGAGTTACAAACTGAGTTAGCCTAAAAAATACATCCGATCCAAACAACGGTACGACCGCTTAATCCTTTTGTATCATATTACGTATCCTCTTTACTACCATAGCAACAAAGGTCCTCTTCTGCCAAATCGTGTTGGTATAGGAGGAGGTGCAGATTAAAGCATCAAAATGTTCCCCCGTGGATGGTCTGGCGGTTGTATATCCGTTCGCCAACTGGTGAAGGTCTATTTGTGTTTATGTGTAATCCCACATCGTACGGCGCAAAACGTGGCTATATGATAGTAGTACCAGCCAACAGTCAGTCAGCCAGTGGGTCATAAGCCGCTTGCTCCCCCCGAATACGGCTCCGGTTGGAATCGTTTCGAATGGGGTCTGGTTTTTGTTGCCAGCAAAATTTACCCTTCAATCTACCACCCGCTGCTGCAGCGCGCTGGCTACTGACTGGCGACTGAGTGACTACCTACTTCCGGGTTTCCTCCATATGGCAGGAACAAAGGCTCTCTATTTCCTTTCATTGATATCGCTGCGGTGGGAATTGGAAAATCCTTAGTCCTACTCGACCCGCCAATGTGCTGACTGCTGACTGCTGCTGCGGCTGACGTAGGCACTTACAGAATACAGTCAGAACTGTAGGGCGAACAAAGGGAACAGTGGGATTTGGTTAGGTTGAAATGGAATGACACTCAGGAATGGGACTGAGCAACATACTATCTACATCGTAATTCTGTATGGGTGAAAGTCATTGCCCGGCGAGATAAGTCTTACTTTCTGGCTTTGGTCAAAAATGCTGTTCGAAATGGAAAGGATTTATTGGCGTGGATTAATGGGATCATTTCTAAGGAAATCATAGGTAAGAGGTTTATGCGCAACGAGAGGGTTTCGGTGGATGATACGTTGTGACCGGTCTTTGTGAGCAGGGTGCCTTCCATCCATTTTTTCTAAAATAATGTTTTATTAATAATAAGAATAATAAGATAATATGATGATATTTTGTATGTGCAAGTAACAAGAAAAAAAGTAATGTTTGTGTTTGACCCGTAAAACCTGCAAATTTTACTTTGCCAGAGTCACAATGAGCGATTTTCTAATCGCCTCTTCGTGAAGAGCGAAGAGTGGGTGAAATAAATGACAAAATCGCTTATTGTGCCACTCGTGTAGCAAAATTTGTCAGGTGTTATGTGTCAAACACAAACTTCACAAACTTTTCTTGTTTCTTGCACAAACAAAATATTACTATACTATCTTATTATTCCATAATTTAATAAAACATTTTTTTATCCAAAATGAATGGAAGGCACCCTGTTTGTGAGAAACGTTATCATTAGGGTGGTTCCACACAGAGTCATCTTCTCAATATTTTTGTCAATTTCGATGGGATCTTATTGCTGCCTACCCAAGTAACAAATCTAGAGCTACTTGGCTATATTCATAATTTATAAAGGTTTAATTGCAGCTGCAACCATTACCTACAGCTTTATGACGGTCATATACAATGCAAGTCATGGAACATTTTATAGCTTTCTACAAAACTCCTATAAAGCTTATAAAAAAACCAACTGATGCTCATCCTATTTTCACTTATTAAAGGTTTTATGATTGCCTTGAAGTATAAAAAAGCAAAATGAATTGCCCATATAAAACCCAAACATAAATCCTTATATTGCTATATAAGGAAGCGCAATAAAGCTAGTTGGCCATGAAACAGTTATTTTAAAACAATTATAAGCATTCAGTTGTAACTTGTCAGAAGTGTAAATGTGCTGTTTATTTCTACAACATAGAAAATAATCAAAACTTTCCGGTATTTTCAAGCGGAGCGCAAAGAAAATCAACAAGATTGTTAGCATGAGCCCGTTTATTTGCTACAGTCAGGCGCAAACCTTCGTGAATAACTCCAAGAAAAAAAATTGCCGCTGCATTTTCTGCGGATGTCACAAGCTTTAAAGAATGTGCTTCCTCACCATTACATTGGTCGAAATACATGGAATGGTGACAGTTCTAGGACAAAAAAGTTGAAATCACGCATAACTTTTCATAAAGGTTAATGTACCATTCAAAACTTTTCCAATTGTTTGTAAAATTCATCGGTTGCACCCGTAGAATAGGAATATGCATTTGCCCTAAAAAAAAATGAATTGCTCTTGTAAAAAGAAAGTAGTGCTCGTAATAAAATCATGCATTATGTTTTTCTTTTCTGCTTTCATTCAATGCACACTGGCACTGGGCCATGCATGCAACCTAGCGGAGCAAAATTAATAACTGCGAAACGAAGCATTTTCGCGACTTGATGTCTTCGGCAAAGTTCCTCATCATAATAAGGACCATCTATTGACATAAACAAATAGTTCAAAACTCTTCCGAAAACATGGCGCCACAATCTTACTTCTTTCTCTGACGTTTTGGAGACTTGATGTCTTCGGCAAAGTTGTTTATCTTGACAAAATGAACAGCTCTTTCAAAGACGTGAAATTTTCACAGCCTGCTGGTTCTAAGTTATATGGAGTTAAAAAAATGTCGAAAATATGGTTTTTTCTTTCTGTTTCGGTATTTTGCTTACAACCATATTATATAACCAAATTTTTCTCTTATGCAAATGCATTAAATAAATAATTTATGTGAAGAAACATACTGGATAAAGCTTCAAATTTTAAAGATATTGTTAAAAAAACGAAAAAAAAAACAACAATTTTTGAACTTTAGAACCTCCCAAAGCGCAAAAATTCGCAATCTGACATTTTCAGCAAAAAATAAACAATACTCGATCAACAAAGTATTAAAATTTGAGAGAGGTATATTTTGGTGCTTTTTTTTTAGATTTCTTCATTTTAGTGAAACATGATTTTTTTTTCTATAACTTTTTTTAATGCATTGAAATGGCGTTTTAAAGATTTGACGACTTTGGCAAAGTTGTTTATCTTGATAAAATAAACAGCTCTTCTTAAGACGTTAAAACTTCACAGCCTACCTCGAAAACAGTAGGCTGTGAAGTTTTAACGCCTTAAGAAGAGTTGTTTAATTTATCAAGATAAACAACTCTGCCAAAGTCGTCAAGTCTTCAAAACACAAGTTCAATGCATTAAAAAAAATTATGTTCCACTAAAATGTAGAAAAAAAAAAAAAAAAAAACATGTTCCACTAAAATGAAGAAATCTAAAAAAACATCAGAATATAAATCTCTCAAATTTTGATATTTTGTTTATTGAGTATTGCTTAATTTTTGCTGAAAATGTCAGGTTGCGATTTTTTGCGCTTTGGGAGATATTAAAGTTCAAAAATTGTGTTTTTTTTTCATTTGTTCAACAATATCTTTAAAATTTGAAGCTTTATCCAGTATGTTTCTTGACAAAAGTTATTTATTTAATGAATTTGCATAAGAGAAAAATACAACATTATATGGTTGTAAGCAAAACATCGAAACAGAAAGAAAAAAACATATTTTCGACATTTTTTTTAACTCCATATAACTTGGAACCAGTAGGCTGTGAAAATTTCACGTCTTTGAAAGAGCTGTTCATTTTGTCAAGATAAACAACTTTGCCGAAGACATCAAGTCTCCAAAACGTCAGAGAAAGAAGTAAGATTGTGGCGCCATGTTTTCGGAAGTGTGTTGAACTATTTGTTTATGTCAATAGATGGTCCTTATTATGATGAGAAACATTGTCCAAGACACCAAGCTTCGGAAATACTTCGTTTCGGAGTTATTAATTTTGCTCCGCTAGATTCCATTCCTGGCCCAGTGTGCAATGTAAGCATTAGACATTTTACAAAATTGCGCTTGGTGTTTTTCTTGCCTGCTGTTCTCTGTCGCCATATTGTCATTATGAAAATGCCATTAGCCTTGGAATAAAATCCAAGAAATTTCAATAAAATAATGGCTAAATTAGATATCCGAAATGATTTCCACTGTGCATTGGTATGAATTTATTTATTGAGATCTATTTTCTGTAAAATTAAGATGATTCCATCAAATTAATTTGATTTCTGAAACAATATTTTTTGATAACTTGAATTATTTTGGAGGCGCATTTATTTAACGCTCATATTATCCCAATATACACGATAAAATTTCAAGTGCATATGTTTAGGAACTTCTAGAAAGTCCAATATTT